CCACACAGAATAAAGCATACCAAATTGAACGCTTCGAAAAACAAGATCCACTACGGTTACTTCTGGGTGCTGCAGCCTGCAGCCCAGACTCCCAGCGACTTTACATGTAAACTATCATTTATAAAACATAAATAAATAACAGTGGGGGTAATGCATCGCTCTATAGGACAAATGACTGGTAGAGCAAAGACTGCGACACCCCCCCACTGCTCTTGCTCTGTTCTCTCCCTTCAAAGAGAAGACATCAAACGGCAACAACAGGTCCATTTATCCTGTTTCACTTTTAGTGTCCAGCTCTAATAGTGTAAACTGAGAGCACTCTCTTTGCTCTGTCAATGTTTGCTTTAATTTTTTATTTTCTTTTTATAGGTTCAATTTGCACAAGTTGTTTCAAAATTCTACATATCTTAATTACAACCTCTTAAGAGGTGCACAACCTTTTACTCAACCCTGTTGGTTTTCTAGGGGTATTAATGTTTGTGGTGATCTTTATGACGATGGAGGTTTTTCGCTCTCTTCAGACCTTACAGATTACATTCTCTCTGCCAGCTTCTGCTTATTTTGTGTACTTGCAATTAAGATCAGTGCTTAAAGCCTACAGGGTTCCATGGGGCTTTCCTATAGCTGTTCATCCTTTGCATTAACATGAGTTTTTGGTGATCAGATCACGTCCAGATTTTACTTGACTGCATGAAAAGCCAGGTGTCTTTCAGACATGGCTTTAGATTCATGGCTGCAGTCACACTTAACACCCAGGACAGGTGTTTTTAGCGCTGAGTGTGCAAATACTGTTGATAAACAAAACAGATGGTTCAAGTTCACATGCTGCATTGCTGAAATGCTCTCCAATAAACTCCTATGATGTAAGAGGAAAAAAAAAAAGAAACGGCTGCCGAACTCTAATGAAAGCCAAGCCAATGTCAAAACACCAATATGGGTTTAGTTTGAGAAAGGAAAATCAAAGTAGATTACAGATGTGAACTCATACGATCTGTATTACTTTCATGTACTTCCTTCTCTCTGCCAAATTAATTAGCTAAATAGAAGCCGTTTAGTCTCAGTGTGTCATACCACGAGCTTTGCAAGTCTAACAAACGGCGCTTTTCAATCCATTCCCTGAGGTGCTGGCTACATTTCAAGCAGGAACAACCTTTCCAACTGTACTCTTCATTTGAATTTACTTTAACCCCAAGCCCTGAGGCCTTGCTTGGCTGAATTCAACAGCGCTGAAAGAATAAAGCACTGTAAAAACTACGTCATGTGTTGATCCCTATCAAGGCCCTGGGTAGACAGAAGGATGACGTCCAGCACCTTACCTGCTCTAGGATAGAAGAGACGTTTCAGTACTAACAGCTAAACAAGAAGTCGCTGCTTCTCAGATTTCTGTCATACTGGAGACATATTTTCATACCTGTTAGTTTAATGTGGGGGCTGCATGTGGTAGAAAGAGATGGCTTTTATGTAACCATAATTGCCCTCTAAAAACATTTTTAAACATCTTCCGGATTAAGGATTCTTTAATAAATTGAAAGAGCCATGAACACTCAAAGAAACATGCTTTAATGGTTCTTTGTAGGGTTGAGTGATTCTTCTCTATGATGGAAAAACTACTGTATATGGTTGTTTAAAGAATCTTTATAAAAAAAAATAAAAAAAAGGTTCAGTTTACAATGAACAGTTTTTGAATTTATCAAAAATTTATCAAATATTTGCTCCAGCCTTAAATATCAAACAGCTCTACTTGGAGATTGTCTTTCAGATTTGAGTTTGTACTTTATATGGTTCTTTAAAAAAAAAAAAAACTTTTTTATAGGAAGAAAGGAAAGAGATGGATGGATGGATGGATGGACGGATGGATGGATGGAGTTAAATAGCACCAAAAAGGGTCCTGCTATCGTTAAGTCAAAGAACATTTTTGGTACTAAAACTCTTTGCGTGGTTTGATAAATTACAATACATTTTGTGACAGATTTTCTGAGAGTACTGTGGACATCTATTTATAAATAAAACTGAACATCTGCACGCTTCATTATAAAAAGAGCACAATTAGATATGTTTAATTGGATTTATTGCAGTGTAGCATGTGGCACTGAATGAAAAAGTGTTTTTAAAATGTGGCAATGCTAGTTTTTTGTCCATACCAACTTACCAAACTACACAAAAACTTAAATACTGATGCATACTGTATGACAATAGTTTGAAATTATTATTTTTTTTCTTAATCTATCAACAGTGAAAAGCAAGCACTACTCAGAAATGGTGCCCTCAAACTTTTGATGGGCAGTAAATGTAATGGATTAAAAACTTATCGTTATCTTATAACCTATAAGCTTATCATCGGCCATCAATGCGAATTTTAGCCCCACTAAGCTTTCCTTCAGCATTCATTCCTTCACATACATTTCCTCATAGACGTGTTATGACTGTCTCATGACATCCGCGTCAACACCACACAAAATGATCAGTTGCACTTCTAATAAGCCGTTGCGGTGGCATTGTTGGAACGCCACTAAGGCTGAGGACAAGAGAGGCAGGGTACGGCGGAACCTCTCAGTGCAACCGAGGTGAGCCGCCTGCCGGCCCTGAGGGCAGAATGTGGCGGCGTAATCACGGCCTCCAAATTACAGGCCACGTCTGTGCCTTAATGGGGTTCAGGCCGGGGCTGAGGGGATTCGGAAGATTTCGGTGATTTCGGAAGGCACAGACAACATTCCTGCACGGAACGTCAGCGATCGCTGCGCTAAGGAATCAGCCTGATTGCTGAGCAACTGGATGAGTTGCTTTATGGTCTACATTTATTTTTTAGCGTGGCTAAAACTTTCAGCAGGAAAAACAATCAAAGCAGCACGGCCAGCCGGCTGCTAATGCAACCCCGATCACCCCCGAAAGCATTTCTGAGATACACAGCAGGAGAGCAATGCAAAAGAGCCAAACGAGAAGCAGAATAGACTGCCTTTTTCTCCACATCTCAAAGTGCACCATGAGAGACCACATTGAGTGCTTGTGTTCATGTTTGTGTAATGCGCAATGAAACTCTATTGGGCATTGCAGAATTCACTGAAGTCGTGCCAGAAGCTGAAACGAGGCTTCATCCATCTCGCTGCAAACGACCAAAACAATACCAAAAATCAGTGTGCTGCCAAAGGCTCGTTACTGCAGCTGGAGTCCTTCAGTGGGGTTGAGGTTGAGTGCAGGAGAGACGATAACAACTGCTTTTTTAAAAAAAACATGCTGAGTAATAATCTGTAATTACACATGGTATACACAGCCTCCAAATCTAAACAACTGACTTTTGCCAGACAATGCTAACACCACAGGGCAGACGGTTCTGTGGTAATCCACCACTCAGAGCCAGTCTGCATTCACAGGCCAGACCACTGCCTGCCTCACTAGAGCCTTCACTGTTGATGTAAAAATTAGGGATGTGCTGGGGCACACAAGTACTCGCTCAACCGTTCCAGTCATCACTATTCAGGTATTTGTTATGTTTCATCACCGGAACATGGAGAAAACACACAGAGACCAAATACTCAGTGGAAAAGTGCTTTTTTGTTTTAACAGAACAGTAAAACGCGAAAGTTTTGCTCATGTCTGCGAGTGTTATACTACACTTTGCTTCTTCAATATGCGAGGACACCTTGTTAAAGGGCCCCTACCAAGGGAAAAGTGAATTTTTCTAACTTTCTTGAAAGAAGAGTTTGTTATAGCCATTTCAAAATGTACCATTCACTCCCCAGTGTACACAGGCTTCCCACGGAAACTAAGCTGGAAAAACAGCCCATTCTGAATTCACTGTTTCTGTGATGTCACAACAAAGTATGCCTTTACATATAGCTGTGTATTCAGCCTACAGCAGTTTAGCTCCGCCCATTCAGTATGAAGTAAAGAGTTTTAGCTCGGACTACTTTTTGAGTGACGCACAGTACAGAGCAGCCAAACAGAACATTACTAGCATTACTCAGAAACACTCAGAAAAGGTGTCTACAAACTTTTGACAAGCGGTAAATGTAATGGATTAAAAACATTATCTCATCTTTCAAATACATTTCCTTACAGATAGATGTGTTATGACTGTATCAAAGATTATTTACATATGTAAGTCTTAGAGGCACAGTAACAAAACAGTCTGTTTATTTCTAAAGGATAAAGAGAGATGGAAACGGTTGGACGACTGTCATGTTAAATTTAATTATGACTGATATGGGGAACAAATGACTTCTAGGGAGAAAAATAGAAGTTAATGATAAAAGATAAATGTACAATATGGGCTCTTTAAAAGATGTGACTGAGAAGCCAGAGATAGCGTGGCTTTTATCAGTATAAAAGCTAAGCTGATGTTCTTCATCTGTGACAGCCTCAATTATGCTTCTTCTCTGCCAAGAAACGATACTGATCCCCCTCGGCTATTTATGAATATGCCACGTTTTTTAAATGTCTTCCTTTGCATCATGCTAAATTTCTGTGCAACACCAGTGCTGTCACCTAAAAAGGTAAGACTACAGCCTTACATTACTTCATCTGTGATCATTTAGTGTTTTCTTAACCTATATTCAATAAAAAATGGTGTTTCAATTGCAACAATTTTGCTATGTGAGAATAAACTATAATTAAAGAATTCAATAAATTATGTGCTCAACTTGGGCTATTTTCAATTGAAACCAAACAACGTCCGCTGCCCTCCACATGGCAGACCCGCACCCAAGCACACCAGGATATACAAAGAAGAGTGTACTAATGCTACACTCTCTCTGTAGCCTGATTAAAATTGCAAATTGCTCGATCAAGGCGTCTGTCCAGTGTCATAAACGCAAACGTACCAGGACCAAAATGAAATGAATCGATTTGATGATGCACTAAATCGTTTCCTAAAGAATCACAATCTCACAGAATCATTGTGCAAACAGATCTCATCTTGCTTGGCTCAGTGTCACATGGTCGTAGCGGCTGCGAGGTCAGATCAAGTGCCGGGATTTAAATGGTAGGTTACTGAGGTGACTGACCTGGTTAATGGAGTTAGCCATACAGGAGGAAAGGCCTGTTCCAACTGAGGCCAACACAAAGGTGACAGGGTCAAAGGGCACCGGAGCCATGGCGTATCCTGCTGCTGCTGTTGTCACTACAAGCGCTGAAGAGAAAAGAGATGAAAATGAACTAAAATTAAATAAAAAGAAGACTTAATGACTGACAGATTACAATGCCACAAATTCTGATAACAAATAAGCAATACTTAGCTGTGCAGTTGAAACTAAAAGTTTCTCATCCCTTCATCTAACATAGTTCATCACATCTGCCAAACTAGAAGTGAGTTAGCTGAATAACTGACATCAACTGGCTAGTTTTAAACTTTTGTCTACAGTACAGTTTTAGCAGTTACTCATCATGCTGAGCTTTGTGATGTGATGTGTACCCATATTTCTCATGCATAACCCTGTACTGTTTTCTATGCCATCTGTGTTTTCCTCTTTCAGCCAGGTGATGAAGATGGGGAAAGCAATCAAGACAGCTAACTGATGATTAAATTCAGTACCAAGTGTTTTTTTTTTTGTTTTTTGTTTTTTATATAATTAAAATAGCTGTTAGTTCCTAATATGTACACACAAATGGAATCAGTTAAGATTGAAATGGGTAGATTTTTGTTCTAAATACACCACCAGCAACTGAAAATGATCATCTCTTTAATGTTAAGCCATTTTTTACAAGTAATGTAAGCCAGCTAGGTACAATCATGCTGCTGCTGCTACTCCTGCACCAAAATCACACAGTATGTTTATGCATGACTCATTGTGCAGATTCTGAAATTTGTCAGAATCCAATGAACACTTACCAAGAACATCTGAGACTTTCAAGTATATGCACAGCACTGATAGCGAGAGATACTTCTTCATATACTGTGCAGCCATTTCTATTAAATTACCAAACCTGTCTGCCTCATCCAAGGAGAGAGAAAGGAAGGGCTATTTCAAGAACCCATCTGCCATTTTATCTTGCTGTCTCATATAGCTGACCAGCAGACACTACTGTATGGTTTAAACATGAAGCAGTATGCAGTACCACCTCTCAAGCATGACAGTTTCTCACAGTCAATAGGTTTCTACTCTAATTAAGGTAGAGATGATTGAACCCTAGTGCAACTGCTCTATAAATGCAGCTTGTAAGATCAAGTGAGAACACTGCCATGCAATTTCTGATGCACACCAAATAAGAGGCTCGTTTGATATGTGAATGCAATACAACTAACCAATGACAGAATGCACGTTGTCTCCTATTTGCATATCTTGTTCGGTACGTGGAAAAGGTGAGTATATGATGCTGTTTTTGACACGTGAATGTATTTTATCATCTGTTCGTAAGCTCTGGTCCGGCAATTACAGAACAGATAGTTTCAGTTTTAAAACGAGGCTGAGACACGTTTGAAGTCATTACAAAATATCTGATATACACATCCGCCTGCACATATAAATTATATTGTATATTAAGTTGCCAAGATTTCTTCGTTTTGTAAAAGCAGTTAGCCACCCGAGGTTCTTATCACAGGGATTTCATCCACCTTTGCGTCATGCAAAACCACAGTAACGCCGGGAGTCTAGTGGCTTATTGCTCCAGTATCACAAGACATAAAACAAGACAAATAAAACCAACAAGCTCAGACACAACAGAATGATTCAAAAAAGTTTGATGGACATTATCACAGTTAATGTACGTCATAATATCTGCCCAATCAGTTGTGACCTTTTAATCGTAGGACTTATTTACATCTTTTGATTTGATGTTAAAAATGTCAGTGTGAATGTTAAGCGAACCAGAATTAAAATGCAACAATGTATTATTTTCTGCTTTGGTCCAGACCAAAGGAACCAAGCTACAAGTACAAACAAACCCTAAGTCTGCATTAAATCTCACCATACCTGTGAGTTTAATCTTGGAGAGACGAGCATAGACCCCTGGTAAATCTGAGTACTCCACTCTCAGTTCCTTCCATTGCCGGGCTTCCAGATGGGCCTGTCTGGCCGCCTCCGGTTCGTCCTGCAGACTGGAGGCCTCGCTGCCAGGTACCACCACACCAGGCTGGGTCTTTATTGCTGGGATCTGCTGAATTTGGACGATCGAGTCATCTCTGTCGTCCAGCATGGAGGTTACAGGCTCTTGCTTAGGCCTGGCTCTCTGACTTAGACCACCAATGTTCTTTGTGACATACTAAAAGAGAGAGGAAATAGCGGCAATATAGCAGCATAACACGCCTTATAAAGGCTACAACACACTTCTAGACTATACAGGTGTATCTGTATGATGCTTTGACAGGTCGAGCCAGAAGAGAGTAAGATGCTGCAGCATTCTCAGAGCAAGATTATCAATAAAGACTTAGACAGCTCTGGGCCTTCAGCCAGCAAGGTAAGTAATGACCTCATGGGCTATTTATTCAGTGAACCACAGGATATGCTTAATTAAACTCCGCTTTAAGGGTCCATTATCACGGGAAAACAAAATCTTCCTGACTTTCTCATTCAGCCCACAGCGGTTTAGTTCCACCCGTTCACAATAAAGTTATAAGGAGTGTTTCAGCCCAGTCCGCTTTTTCAATAAGGCATAGTACATGGCAGCCAATCGGAACATAGCTCATTTACGTATACATCATATCGCTGTTGTCGGAAGAAAACTTCGTATGTCTAAAATGATAGCTTTACAGGAAAAGGAAAAAACTACTATTCTTTTAATGTAAGTCAATGGAAGCAGACATGTTTCCAAGTCATTTTGGGCCGTTTCTTTTGGTCCATTCATCACAAAATTTACACACAATGTAAAGCACAATAGGCATTTTCACACTGTCAAAAACTGAAACATGACAAAAATGGAGAAATGGAGAACATTTATGTCTTAAAGGCAGAAACATTCTAAGGGATAAGAAATTCTAAGGGATGAACAGAGGTTGGAATATTGAATTATGGAAAAATAATGTATGACTGTTTTTGGTAAATAAAACCAAATAAAAGCCCTAAGTGGACCTCAAAGGAAAAAACACTAAAAATGAGAACACTAAGAAACAGGACCACTGAATTGACGATTGAGGTTAATCTTAATTAAGGTTTTTTATAATAGTTCTGTTGGGTAGGCTTAAGTTATTCACAATATCTTTATTAAAAGCAAAGCACAGCCTTCTCAAGCACTGTAGTGCTGTAATCTATTTCACTACCAGAGAAAGAGCTCAAATACTCACTCAACCACATTAACCACCTTCAAGATATTATTGATTTTTTGCTTAAAACAACAGGAGACTCGCCACAGGTCTGACACCTCTGGTAAAAAATCTCACCTGCCGCTTGAGGAAGTTCAGGTGCTGGAATGTGATCCATTGCGCTGGTTCACTCCTGCAAAGCTGGATAAGACTCCTTACACAGAAGTGATTTCTTGGTGTGCTTACTAACAACTTCTGATTCACACTGGCACCAACCAAACCTGCAGACGTGTAACAGAACAAATGCACATTTGCTCTAACATATCACAACACAACTGAGCACGACGTTACATTTAGTAATTAGATATGGTTTAGGTCTCTGGCAATGGACAATTACACTGAAAAACACTCTCTTAACGAGCACAATTTACACACGTCCCCTTAAATTACTTAACGTGAATGGAAGCTAAAATAAAAGCTGACATGCTTTGGTACTTTAGCTCGCGTTAAAGTGACTTGCTGCAGGTACAAAAAAAAATAATAATAAAAATAATTCGAGCTAAAATGGCAGTTAGTGCAGAGCAGCTAAGTTAACTCTAACCTGAAGAGAAAGTTCCTCTGAGCCTTGTCTACGACCTGTGTGCAGTATTTTCTGTACAGATAAAGTGTCCCAATTTTTAGCGATAAACTCGATTTTTTAACTAGAAAATATCATGCTAATTATTTTTAGATATCGCCCAGCCCTAGTAGAGACCTGCTCATCCGTGTCTTCTGAAACCTAAGGTATTAATAGGGCTTTTGCCCCACTGCAGTAACAGGTTTCACTCTTCAAGGTTTGGATTTGATTGCATAGAGCCAGCAATAGTGACACCAGATACTGATGCTGGATGGATCACAAAAGCCACTCCAACTAACCCTGAAAGTACTGGATGGAGCGCCATCATGTCAGAGAACTCAATTCCACTGCACCACAACCCAGGGCTGGGGGGGCTTTATACCCTTCTAGCCAAAATTTCACATTGGGTATGGTGACCTATGAGCTCATGTGCTGCTGCTCCAGAGGTCTCATACCACTGACAATGCTTTTCTATGAAGGTTTCACAAGCTGTGCGTGCAACTGAAAGCCTGTCTCAGCAATGAGTGCATCTTAAAGTGGCTAAATTCACTAATTACAAAGGGTGTTTGGACATACACTGTATCTTAATACTCAACTAGTGGTGTCCATGTAAACACAGTTACAAGGCAAAGAACATCTGCATAGGCTAAAAACATAAATGTAAAAAAAAAAAGCACAGTAACATGTATTATAACAACTTATAAAAAAAACTTAAAAAATACTGTTATGCTTCTCAAAGACTAGCTAAAAAAAAAACAAAAAAAAACAATGACGCTGCACTGTCAGTGCAAAATATTTAGACCAGTGTTTCCTGGATCTACACCTGCGTTTCCACTGATCCTCAAGCTGAATCAGGCCTTAAGAGCAGAAAATCATTAAACTGTGAAGTTCAGGTTCACTACAGGACCATAGCTGGGAAACTCTGGGCTAGCAGTCACTGTGCGTGTATTAGCGTTATTACACAGAAAAAAAACTGAAAAGTAAAACTGCTGGACTGCTACTGGAAGATTAATCATTTTCAATTTAAGAGAGCACAATTTTCAAACTGCAAGAACTGCTTTTTTTGGAAATTGTAGCCTACATTATCAAACATTCTTACGTTCATAACACGAAACTTGTGAACCGCCTGTAGATAAGTTAAACCAATCAGAGACAACCAAACCTCCAAACAAACACGTGACATCACAACCACAACTTACTGGACGTTTGTCACACAACATTCAGGGGTGAAGCCTGAAAAAAGTGAACACTCTGATCTTCTTGGCAAAAAAAACAGGCCTGAACCTTAATTCATAGAAAATAATTGCAACTTAAATCACAGCCGCGAAATTAGTCAGAAAAATATCAATAAGATAATTCACTCTAATTGTTCAGCCCCAACTGTTACAAACAACTACAGTCAAGAGTCCCGGAGTAAACATGAAGCAAACAAACACACCGGTCACAGCCACACACACATCTCTAAAAGCCAGCCGTGAAGGGCTGAAGGCGCTCAGCACAACGAAGCTGTTCAGCTTCTCATCCGAATTTTCCCGTTCCACCTTAAACGGAGCAGCAGTTTCATTCTGGCGCCTAAGGCGTTATAGTAATAACCGCTGCACCATTTAAGGTGGAACGGGAAAATTCGGATAAGAGGCTGGTTTCAGCCTCGTCTCAGTCCAGCGCCGCGCAAACTCAAACCAGGGCCGAGCAGAACAGAACCGCTCGCTTCTAATGTGATTAATGTTGTGATAATAATCTGTCACTGTTTCTCTCGTTGAGGTCACTGTTAGCCCATTAGCCTCTCAGCTAGCTGCGTCTGAAATGAGGCTAAGCTAACTGGCTCGCCGTGGAGGGTAACCTCGCTCTGTAAGGATTCACGCGCGCAGACACATCCTGATATCCGCTCATGTATAAATACGATCACGGGGAGGATAAGTCCACCCACCGGCCACTCTGCTACAGGGTGTTTTATACATGTTCTTCGCGCAGCTGACCGGCTACCGCCGTGTCCCCTTCACACGCTGTACGCCGCCATGTTCACCTCCGACAACAAGAGCTTCCGGGGTTCAGAGAAAAACGTTAGACACGAAACTCTCACGAGATTTTGTTCTACGTTCAAGTACAGCGAACTCGTCCGTTATCAGATTCATTTAGTAATAAAAAAAGTAAATAAAATAAAATACATAAATAAATAATAATAATAATAATAATAATAATAATAAGTTCTAATTATATAGCACACTTTCATGACAGCGCCAACTCAAGACAGAAAAAAACAAATGTAATTCATAGACCGGTGCGGGTTCATAGGCGCGCAGCCAGGGGGCCAAACCGCTTTGGTAGCTTAGCCAGTCACAACATTGTAATGATCCTTGTTGACTCAGTGGTAAAATGACATTTCAGAGTCGGGTTTATTTGTTCATCTTTCGTTTGTATGTTAATATAACATTATGTAAAATGTTAGCTAACTGTCAGTATAGGCTAGTCATCAGGGGCCGTATTACAGAAACTTCTTAAGTCTGAGATCTGCTTTGTTGTCATGGCAACTTCAGTTAAGACTGAAGTTAGGACAGAAGCCATTACAGAACAACAGTTATTAAGTCTACAATCTTATCTTATTTCCAGATAAAAAAAAAAAAAACAGTGTTACAGAAACATCCTAACTTGCCAAAATATCCTAAATGTTTTCTTAACTTTAAGACAACCCCAGAGCTGTCTTACCTTCTGTTTTAATCGTCTGTTTCTAGTTTTATGCAGTGATAGGCAGCACAGTTCAGTATAAGTAGCATAATGACGTCACATTTTTCTACACTGACCACAGTGCTTTGACTTTTCTAAAGCTCCAGACGCTGCAGACTCGATCTCCACCGTCCCCTCGTATTACCTTCGTGTGTTAATGTTAATGAAAACTCGTCACATAAAATATCACAGTGATGGTGGTGAATAATGAGGAGACAGAGCTGAACGAGTGTCTGTTTATTAGGAGGAGTAACGTTAGCGCGCTCGGCTAAAGTGTTCGGGTAATGAAACTGAAAGTGGCGAGCGACGCTCTGGTAAAAGACTCGAAGCGCTGTCACAATATTCTTACTAATTATCTTTACTTTTATTTGACTTTCTTTACACCAGTAGCGGCATCTAACATTAGCTGTCTGGCTAACTAACTTGATTACGTGTTTACGCTTCAGCTGTGCGCGTATGGTCGGTTGCTAGGTAACAGACACGACAGGTGATTGTCGACTTAAATCAAGTAAGTTAAGATTTCCTAACTTGAGATAAGGTAAGATGCTGTAAGATAAGATTCGTAAATAAAGATAGGATTTACTTTTGTAAGACGAATTTGTGAAAAATTGACCTGTCAGATCTTAAGTTAGAAAAAAAGATAAGAATTTTCTGTAAAGGTCTCCATTAACACCCCACTAAGTTTGCTATTCATTTAAATATTTAGCTAATAGGAGCTATCCAAATCACAAAAAATCTTCCTGAAGTCTCATGGATTTCTTATCGAACTTCTCCAACTTACCTGGTTTTGTTTATGTTTATATATATATATATATATATATATATATATATATATATATATATGTATATATATATATAAATATAGCTGCTGTCAGAACAAAACCTCGTATCTCCATTTTTGTCATTTTTCAGATAATTTTTCATAATTAAAAAAAAAGGCCTTTTGCCCTTTACATTGTATGTAAATTTCATTAAGAATGTACCAAAAGAAACGACCCAAAATGACTTGGAAAAATGTCTGGTTCCATTGACTTACATTAAAAGGAAAGCAGGTTTTTCATTCTCCTGTAATTATGTATATACATACATAAATTTTACATTCACTGCAAGTTGATCACAGGTATACGTCACATCTCTTAAGTCACCTCTAAATCATATATTTGCTCTGCTGTTATCAGTGAAAGAAGAGAGAGAGGGAGAGCGGGAGGACAGATATTGGAACAGGACGAGCTAATTTGGAGGTTAGCAAGAAAAGACCATACTGGAAGCTAACACACAGCACTGTGTAGCACACAGCACTCTAGCCACAAGCTAATATGTTAGCCTCAAGCTCAACGTTAGCCGAAACGAACACTGTCAAAAATTATTGTTATCTGTTTTAACACACTGTGTTACTTTTAATTAAGTTACAATACAATATAATGTGTTGTATTGTTATCCCATTATTAATTACTATTATAAATAGAAGTAATACCACAAGTACAAGTAAAATAGTAGTAATAGTAATTCTCAGCACTAAAAATGTCTGTGTTAAATGTCAATTTGTAGGGGCCCGGTGGCCAAATGGTGGCCTATGGATGCATACAAGTTACAGTTTATGTCAGTCAGACTTCAGACCTAACATGACACTTTTGGAATTCGGCAACAGGAAAATACTAATTCATTCTTTCTCAATATTTATTGCTGCTAATTTGAGATTTTAGAGCAAGGGTGCCCAATGTATCCACAAAGGGCCGGTGTGGCTGCAGGTTTATTCCAACCAAGAAGGAACACACCTCAAATAACTAATCAACTGACTGAGACTAACTGATTAGGCAAGTAGAGTCACATGTGCTCCTTCTTAGATGGAATGTTTTTGTGAAAGACAGTGCCAACTCAGGTCAAGCCTTAATCATCACAAGAATGTACATTTGTGTTTTTTCTTTGCCAGCATGAAAAAATGCCCTGCTGCCAACGTGTTGCTGTGACCCTGACACCCCCTCGTCTCAGGGTCTCTGCAAAGCAGTTCAATCTTCATATCTGACATTCAGTAGACAAACATTGGGATTGCGTAACTATTTCATTTTGCTTTTCCTTATTTTGCCCACTATCTGCTGCTATATTACGTCGTCCGATCTTGTGGTTATCTGAAATCTGGGCCACCAGACAACCCCTGTCACTTGCCAATAAATCTGTGTTGCGGACAGGATTCGTTTAACTCTAAATTGGCATCTAATTCAATGTCTGGCCCTTTGCCTCTCTGCCCTTGTCTGTCCTCTGTGCGGTCCCTCCACGTGGCTGGTTATTTATGTGTGTGATCATGCTGGTGGCCAGGACTGCCAATAGGCTGCTTTCTGATTACTCTCCCTCACCCAGGGCTTTGACTTTGTTGCCTTGCCCGTCTCTGACCACACTGATATGTAATACAGCGGAATGTAGAATCAGATAAACCAACACAATCAGAGGGCTTAGAGGTGCAGGCGTAGGATAACCATCACAGTACAGTAACACAATACGTTTTGCACAGATTATGCATTTCTGTGCATTTCACACCTGACTTGAAATATCCTCACCATCAGATTACTGTCAGAGAGCACAATCACATAAAGTTATTATACTGCACAAAAATTATATATTAATAATTTAACCTTCTGAGCAACCTCATAGCGAAAGTGGCTTGAAATATTACTGTTTTTCCACTTTGAAACAATATATATATATATATATAAATAAATGTTTCAACTTTATTCCCTGTAGAAATTGTGTTAACTCACTTCAACAAGACGTCATTTAACTGGGGGCGGTCAAACTTTTTAAACGTTTCGGTAGTGACAGTTCTGAATGTTCCACACTGATTTTCAAGCTTTGGGACACATTAACTTCCAAACAATGGGATCTAACTGCTCACTATGTGGCCATGAGGGACAGGGATGCAGTCTCACTTCCTGCTCTGAAATGCAGGGGTGTGGCTAAAATAAGACTCCACCTATCGACTAAAACTCTTCGTGTTCCAGTAGTGACATAAAAAAGTGTGATGGGTTTGTTAGTTTTTTTTGTTTGTTTTTTGTTTTTGTTTTTAATTAGACAAATGATGAATATAAATCTTTCAACTTTACATCAAAAGAAATCAAAACAATCTTTAAAAAAACTTTGAAAATTGAACATTTTCACAGGTGTAAATTTACCATTTGCTTGAACTTGGGCTCTGAGCTGCTGAGCTGACGTTAAGTGTTTATGTTATTGGTTGAACTACAGCTGAAATGCAGCTAGTATATTTGGTGACATGACTGGTGTGGAATTGTGTAGAATTGAGGTGTAACTGCTGTCCCATAGACTGTTGTTGGGGTAGGAGAGTCGGAGTGCACATAATATTGCAGTGCATATATATATATATTTATATATATATATATATATATATATATATATATATATATATATATATATATAATGTAATGTGAATAGAATGTATAGAAAAATGGCAGTAATTACAAATGTATAACAAAATGAACTTCTAAGTGTTCGATACATTGAAATACATTGTTTGTTGCATCCTAAATATTAAATCATGCAGTTCTCCAGTGGTTATCAAGTTCTGTGCCACAATTTACAGAACAGTTTGAGACACACTACCCTTTTTGTTGTAGTTGCATTCTCGCATTTGCTCATATGGGCTGCGGGTGCGTTTCCTCTCATCAGTAAACACGGGGGGTTAGTCCTTTATGATCTTGGATGGCTTCCTCCAGTGTAAAAAGCTCCGTGGCCCGGACATCCCATTTCCCTGATTCATCTCATTCATTACAGCGGCTTCCTGCCCACCCCTCCTCTCCTGCAAGATTACATGCAGTAATCTCCCCCTCCCATCCAGATGCAGGCCTGATAAATGTCAACAGCGCACAGCGGTGGGCAATAACAGACTCGGCCCACAGGCTCCTCCGCTCTCATAGCGTGCCATTACAGGCTCAACTGTGATATTTGATTTTTTTCTGACCTGGCCAACACTTTTTAGGGGGGTCTTGATGCTCGTGACGAAGGGGTGTTGTTGTGCTCATAGGTATTGTTTGACTGATCAAATCTTGTCGTGGGAAAGGTAAATAACTCATCATCTGACTCAAGCTCATCTCATCAGCTCAGCTCATCGCAGGCGGTCGTCTGTAAACTAAGTCTATGTGTTTACATGTGTAAGTTTTCATTGTGTGTACTCATCTATGTAAACGTGTTTACATACAGTGTACACAATGCGTGTGAATGCTAAGAACATGCCCAGTGATGTTTAGTGGAGCATGTGATGGAAACAGTTTGTGTGTCTCTGTGTGTGTTTATGAGAGATAGCAGTCACTTT